TTCCTTTTCCTCACTCTTTCTCTTTCACACCCTATTAGCACTCTATTACAGTTGAGGAAAGGTGTTAACCCAAATTTCAGCTTTCTTCTCAGTAGTAACCCAGGATTTGGGTAACACTGGTATTTCTCTCTCCTACCCCTTCCTTTCCCCCCTGTTTCTTCCCCTTCCTTTCCCTCCTCTCTCCCAACTCCTTTTCTAGTAGAAGCCCACCCAGGACTTCAGAAAGTCCCACACCAGAAATATTTAACATCCACTAAGGTAGAGAAACAGTTTCTGAAAAGAAGATTGATAATTTTTTTTTCTGGATCATCAAGTTTATTAGAAAGTTTGGGAGAACCAAATGCTTTAATAAGAAGCCCCACAAACGTGGGAGCCAAGGAGCAGGGGAGGAAAGGGACCCATGAAAAAGTCCAGTCTCTGAAGTTTCAGTGGGGGCTGAGAAGTGGACTCCCAGAGAGGGCAGCCTCTCCTCTCCTCATGACCGCCAGGGGACGCCAAGCCGTCTACCAAGCTCAGCAGGCATTCTTGAAATGATGCGGTCTCCCAATGGTGTCCAAGAGAAGGGGACATAGCGGTCCCCCGATGCTATACCTTTCTTGAACAGTGTCTGGGGACCTCGGGATCGCCTTCTCTTGGTCAGCGTCGGGGGACCCGGGACCGGTGTGTCCTCTTGTCTTGGACAGTTTCGGGGGACCGCTGGTTTGCCTTCTCTTGAACAGTGTCCGCGTACCTCTGGATCACCTTTCTTGAACAGCATCTGGGGACCTCGGGATCGCCTTCTCTTGAACAACATCGGGGGACCGCTATGTCCCCTTCTCTTGGACACCATTGGGAGACCGCTGGGTCCCCTTCTCTGGACAGCATCGGGGGACAGCTGGGTCCCCTTCCCTTGGATAACATGGGGAGACTACTGGGTCACCTTTTCTTAGACAAGATCGGGGAACCTCTGTATTGCCTTCTCTTGAACAGCGTCAGGGGACCTCTAGAAACGCCTTCTGTTGAACAGCATGGCTGGACCACTGGGTCCCCTTCTCTTGGACAGCATCGGGGGACCGCTGGGTTGTCTTTGGACAGCTTCGGGGAATGTTGGGTCGTCTTCTCTTGGACAGCATCAGGGGACTGCTGGGTCATGTTCTCTTGAACAGCGTCAGAGGACCTCTGGATCGCCTTCTCATGAACAGCGTCAGGGGACCTCCGCATTGCCTTCCTTGAACAGCGTCTGGGGACTTCTGGATCGCCTTCTCTTGAACAGCGTTGGGGGACTCCTGGATCGCCTTCTCTTGAACAGCGTCGGGGACCTCTGGATCGCCTTCTCTTGGACAGCGCGGGGGACCTCTGGATCGCCTTCCCTTGGACAGCGTCGGGGGAACACTGGATCCCCTTCTCTTGAACAGCGTAAGGGGGGACTGCTTGGTCCCCTCTCTTGGACAGCGTCCGGGGACCTCTGGGTTGCCTTCTCTTGAACAGCGTCGGGGGACCCCTGGGTCATCTTCTTTGGACAGCGTCGGGGGACCTCTGGATTGCCTTCTCTTGGACAGCATCGGCGGACCACTGGGTCGCGACCTCCTGGACTTTGTTGTGGTATCGCTGGCTCTTGGCCACTCGGACTTTGTCGGGGGAGGCCTGGAGCGCAGCCACCTAGACTGCAGCAGAGTTCTGTGTCTCGGCCTGCTGGCAGCCTTCTTCATCGAACCTTGTGCCCGGTGTTGGCGGTGATAGTGAGCCAAGGTCATGATCCTCTTGGACACATCCTATCAGCCTTTCACACGCCTCCATCCTTGGCTGCACCACGTGCTCGTACCTGGCACAGGCTGCGTTTATTTCTGGTGCCGCTGTCCCAGATCTGGTTACATCCATCCTCTGGCTCAGCTCCCGTAACACATGCATGGCCTTCCTGGAGCTCCGCACCTGCACCTTTGAGGTAACTGTTGTCTCACCTTCACCGCCAAAAATTTTTAAATATTGCATGGGTTGGACTTTCGTCCTTCTAAAACCATTCCTCTTGGTGGGTGACCCACAGCAAGTCCATTTTGAAATGAATCTCCAGGCCGTCCTAACCCACCAGGGACGGCCCTGGCTGTGTCCAGAGGGAGAGACTGGGGTGCCCCCATAACCCTGCCCATTGTGGAGACCACTTTCGTGGGCGGCTCCCCCTTTGGCTCCACCCCTGATCATGGTGCTCAAGACTGGGCTGCGGGTATCTGTCCTGAACTCAGTGGAGTTGATTGGGGGAGTGGCGGCTATGGCTTCCATGCTGGGTGGGGGAGTGGTTGCGTTCAACCCCGGGCAGTCTATGTCTTCGGTCTCCTCCTCAGCCTGCCCAGTGTGGAGGCCACGTTCATGGGCAGCTCCCCCTTGGGCTCTACCCCTGCTGATGGTGCTCCTGCGGCTTTTGCTGCACATGGTGGTGGATCCCACAGGGCCGAGCTCTAGCACTGGGCTGGGGGTACCTGTCCTGAACTCAGGGGGGTCGGCTGGGGGAGTGGTGGATATGGATTCCACCAGGCTGCGTGTGGGAGTGGTTGCTTTTGACCCCGGGCAGTCTAGTGGCCTTCTCTTGGACAGTATCGGGGGACTGCTGGGTTGTCTTATCTTGAACAGTGTCTGGGCATTGCTGGGTCGCCTTCTCTTGGACCCTGGGATCGCTGGGTCATGGTCTCCCAAACTTTGTCGGAGGATGCCTGGAGTGCAGCCACCTGGACTGCAGTGGAGAAGTTCCATGGATTGGCCTGATGGACAGCATTCTTCAGCGAACCTTGTGCCTGGAGTTGGCGGTGATAGTGAGCCAAGTTCATGATCATCTTAGGCACTTCCTTTCAGCCGTTTTTGCACTTCCATCATTGGCGGCACCACGTGCTCTCACCTGGCAAGCCAGCATTTACTTCCGGCGCTGCTGTCCCCAGAACTGGTCGTGTCCAACCTATGGCTCAGCTCCTGTGCCACATGCCCCACCTTCCTGGAGCTCTACAACAGCACCTTCGAGTTAACTGTGGCCCTGCCTTGACCGTCCACAATTTTTAAAAATTACATGGGGTGGATATTCGTCTTTATGAAAACCTTCTTGTTGGTGGGTGACACACAGCATGTGAATTTTAAGATGAATCTCAAAGCCGTTCTAATCCACGCGGGCCAGCCCAGGCTGTGCCAGAGGGAGAGACTGTGTTGCCCCCATCAGCCTGCCCAGTGTGGAGGCCGCTTTCATGGACGGCTCCCCCTGGGGCTCCAACCCTGATGAAGGTGCTCCTGTGGCTACTGTTGCCCATGGTGGGGAAGCCTCCAGGGCCGAGCTTCAAGATTGGGCTGGGGGTAGCTGTCTTGAATTCAGGGGGGTCGGCTGGGGGAGTGGTGGATATGGTTTCCACCAGGTTGGGTGGAGGAATGGTCATCTTAGACCCCGGGCAGTCTAGGGGATTGGAAGGTTGTTCAGTCTTCCCATCAAATGACTCACCCACCTCCTGGCTGGAGAAAATGCTCCGGGCCTCAAGGGAGGGGTAGGGCC